CACTGCGGAGTAGAGGCTGCCATTCCTCTGTCGGGAGCTGGACTGGTACCGCCTGGATCTCTGTGGTATTCAGGAGGGTCCGGTGGACCGGCTCTGGCTCCTGCCAACATGAGGATTGGATAGTCCTCTACTCGGGGCAGGAGACTACCAAACAACAGGGAGTGGCTTTTCTTCTGAACAAAATAAGCCTTCCCATCAACCGGAGGCGAGGAGTGGTGGTCGTGGTTAATTATACCCCCACCAAAGATGAACATCCGTGGAGGGATGCAGGCAAGGCCAATGAGTCCAATGGCTTCTATGACCTCCTGTCACAGGTGCTAGCTAAAATGGCCCCTCGGGATAGAGTCATCCTGTTGGGCTACTTCAATGCCCGAGTTGGTAAATGATGCTGGCACCTGGTCTGGAGTGATTGGAAGGCATTGGCCAGATCAGCTCAATAACGAAGGTAGGAGGCTGCTAGATTTTTGTGCAGCCCATAGGCTTGTAATTACCAACACGCTGTTCCGACATCGGCGCATCAACACAACATCATGGATGCATGCCGGGTCCAAGCAAGAACATATGCTGAACTACGTAGTGACGGAACAGCGGATGCGGGCCCATGTCCTTGACACCAGGACCTACCGTGGAGCTGATCTGCCCACTGACCATCACCTTGTCATCTGTAAGATGTGCCTGCCATTCTTCCACTCCGGTGGTGGGTGTACAACCAGGACCCCATTCAAACCCAATGTGGCCTGGTCTCAGCTAGCTGATGAAAGTTGCAAGCGAGAATTTAATCATCGCTTGCGGCTGGGGTTGGCATCGTCCCTCACTCCTCCAGATGTCGAGGGGAAATGGGCAAGGTTTAAGACTGTGGCTCAAGCAGCTGCCATGGCTGCTTTGGGTACACGGTCCAGACCTCCCTAGATACCCTGGCTGACAGAGGAGGTGTTCAGGCTGGCTGAAAAAGCGACAGGCCCACTCTCATCGTCTAAAGCATCCCACATCAGAGAATGAGGAGGCTTACCGCAGCCTTCGCTCGGAGGTTCGGAGAGCCGTGAAGTGCTGCAAGAATGGGTGGTGGTCGTGGGTTGCTGAGGAGATGGAGTCTGCCTCAATGGCCCGCGATCACAAATCACTATTTAACTCCATCAAAAAAGTAACCTGCAATACCACACCTATTACCATCATTAGGGGAAAAAACGGTGATCCATTCTCCGACCCCCAGGAACAGATTTGCAGATTTGTTGAGTATTTCTGTGAAGTCCTGGGGGAGGAGAAATCCCTAGGCATAAAAAACATTGAGACAAAGTGTGGATGACCCTGATGAGGCTACGGTGTCTCAAATATTGGAAGAATCCACTCCCTGTGAGTAGCTGGCTGAGGTGCCATCTGGTCGAGGAAGTACAAAAGAGGAAATCTAGAGTCTGAGACCAGGAAAGGCATCAGGCAGAGATGATCTCCCAAGCGAAATGCTGAGGGAGGGTGGCATTTGTGCACAGACTGCCCTACATGACATCATAACAACAGTCTGGACCACTGGACGGGTTCCACAGGATTGGTAGGATGCCCTAGTGGGCCCCCTCTTTAAGAAGGGGGACCACACAAACTGTAACAACCACAGGGGCATCTCACTCTTCAGTGTGCCGGGAAAGGTCCTGGCAAGGATTATTCAACATCGCCTGGCCAGGCACGCTGAGGAGAGGTTTGCGGAGCCCCAATATGGTTTCAGACCTGCACAGATGCCATATTCTCTGTCCGTCTGCTATAGCAGAGGTGTAGGGAATCCCAATACGACCTACATCTCTGCTTTATTGACCTGGTCAAGGCCTATTGTACCATCAACAGGCCAGGGCTCTGGGAAGTTCTAAGTGCTTTCAGAGTCCCTGACTGCTCATTATCATTAAGGGCCTTCATGATGGTGGGCAGGCCCGGGTAAATCTACGTAGCCGGGAGTCGGAGCCATTCCCTGTTCACCTTGGGGTGCAACAAGTATGTCCTCTGGCTCCAACATTATTTCACATCTTTTTCGACCACGTAGTATGTGAAGCCTTTTATGGCTGTACCGGAGGAATTTCCATCTGGTACAGATACAACGGGAGGCTGATCGATGCCCAGGTGCTGTCGAGGGATGGTTCCCTATTGGTCAAGCATGTTATGTATGCTGATGATCTGGTGATTTCTGCTCACTCGGAGGATGAGTTGGAGGCACTGCTGCTGAACCTGGAGTGTACCGCGTGGGGTCTTACCATCAGCCCCACCAAAAGCAAGCACCTACCTGGGTGTTTTGTACCACCAAACACTCCACCCCCTCAGCTACCCATTAGTGATGAAGCAGTTGTGACAGCAGAGGTCTCGCTCCGAATCAGTCAGGTGGCATTATATTTTCATCGGCTGCGCAATGCTGTATGTCACTCCGCACGAAGCTTTGGGTCTTCTCAGCCACAGTCATGCCCTCCCTTCTCTGTGCTTGTGAAACGTGGACCCCTCTGATGGAACATCTGTGCCGGTTAGAAACATTCAGGCTGGCATGTCTACGATCCATCCTGGGTTTAACCAGGCTGGATTGTGTGAGCAGCTTACAAATCCCTGAACGATCTGGAGACATTCCCATCAGTGAGCTGCTCTGGCAGGCAAGGCTGCGTTGGCTGGGTCATGTAGCCCGCATGCCCAGCCACCGTATGCCAAAACAGCTTTTGTTTGGTTCCATAAAGGGGGCTAAACGGCCACGATATGGGTTGGAGAAGAGATGGAGTGATGCGGTACGGGAGGATGTGGAGCTGAGTGGATTTTCCCACGACTGGTACTAGCGGTGTCAATATAGGCCTCTGTGGAGGAGGCTCGTGAAGGATGCTACTGGGCAGTTGGAAGCAGTCGCCCTCCAACAACAATGGAGGGCGGATGAGCTACCCTCACAACATCGAGTGAGCGCCGGGCGGCTAAAATGCAAAAGTTGGCACAGTAGGGGGCACAGGTGGTGCATCTATCAGTCATCTCAGTCAGCCAACCCATGGCATCTGGGTCTGTCCCGAGACCTCCTGTTAGCAAGCCTTCAACACTTCATGTGGCCTCAAAGTGCACCTGGTCTGGCACAGGTGCCGTGGTGACGTCACCATCACTAAGTGGCGAATGGCGGGTTTTGGTATTGCATATATGTGTTTATTCTACACATACTATATATAAACCCATAAATGCAGACGTGTGTGTTTTGCCTACGAATAATTGTGAGGCTGTTTTTGGATAACGTGCCTTCTTTGCCGTGCTGGGAACCCAGTTAAACCATGTTAGGCTGCCCAGATTCAATCCCGGGATATCAATGGTGGTGGTGCCGCTGGCTCGATGCGCCTGACCGCTGAGCCAACTGGCCACCTCCAACTCAAAACTGTTGTAACATGAATAATAATTATACTAATACTGATGATACATCAAGAAGAATCCAACACTAACATTTGCAAATCGTAATATTTTGGTCTGGAGAGCCAGGAGGCCGATGACTGACTGAATGTACGCGATGACACGTAATGTTAATCAAATTATGGAAAAGACCAATGAATTGCAGCTACCATTGTGCTTCGACCTCGATAGACTGTGAACGGGAATTTGACTTGGAAACAGATCCAGTCATTCAGGATCTCAAAAAGGCGCAAGTAAGAAATATTTAGAAACGGCAAAATGTTTACGAAAATTGACCAGCCGTACTACCACGAACAAAGTATCAATATGCATATTGGAATGGGAGTCGGACAAGGTGACATTCTGTCGTCAAGCTGGATTTGAGAAACAAAGTTTACATTAATAGGAGCAACACGAACTTTGGTGATATACGGAGACAAGAGGGGAGTTTGGATGATATATGCTGACTGTGTATCTCTCTCTCTTTGCTGTGCATCTCTTTCATCTCTTTAGAACTGCTTTTTGTGTTTAGTTTGTCTTGACCCCCGCACCTACAGTTACCACGGTTGGCCTACCTACGGTGCGAAAGAAGTTCGACACCCGTACATCACTCTTTTGTCATTTTTTTTTAATCAAACGCCCCTTGTTGCAGACGTTTGTGATTCAAACCCGGCAGGACACCTTGGTTAATACTGAAGGCGTATTAACCATGAAATATTATTCTGCTTCACAGTGGACAATAAAGATCCCATTATGTCGTTCGAAAAGAGTCGGCTAATGTGTGCCGGGCGTCATTGTCCAAATACATATGTTTAAAAAAAATACCTTCAAATGACTCAATTTGGAGTACACGTCTGACTATGACTATATCGCAGACTTTGTCGGTGACACATACTGTAGGCGCCTTCGTGATAGGCTTGCACTATAAGAATGACGCAAATACCAAATGTACTAAATTATTAGCTGTTGTGATTAAAACTCATTGCCAATGGTGTAGAAGTGCAAAAGTATTTTTTAAAAACTGCTTTAGAAAAAAAAAATTGGGCTAACGTATTTGGTAGTGGTCCTCATACTGTCATTGCATGAAGTGGTAGCCTTTTTGATATAGGAGAGGCTTATTTTTTTATCAGGCATTGTTAAACAAAAGGTGGTGAGGTGTTTTTATCATTCATTTATGAAGGAAATATTAATGACATGGACATCTGCTGCCAGGAAACATTAAGAACAGGGACACTCAACACAGCGTACAATTGTTGGCTATCAGTTCATACATTATTTACCGTATCAGAAGCTTTTTGCCATGGACTGGAAAAATTGTGTTGTGGTCAGAGCGCACAAAAACAGCGGAGCAGATGCTGGTCATTCCTCCGGTTAATGAGATGCATGATTCTTTCCAGTGGTGAGGAGGTGCCTAGTTGCATATGAATCGTAAATCATGGAAATGTGTGTCCATTAAACACTACAGAGAGCCTCATCACGAAGGTAAAGAAGGGGGATGCTGTGCTATTATGCTCATTGGCTGCCATAGGCAATTGTATATTCACCCATGTATTATTACGTGCACCTAGAACCAATGTGGACTCTGTGTTATAGCCAACTTTGATTGAATTATATTTCTTTTTCAGGTCCGTTTTTGCTAATAGACTACGCATCTGATGGGGAATTGCTTGAGTTGCCAACGATGCTGTCCCGGGTAAGTGTTCTGATTGTGATTTTTTTAAAAATATTGTTTCATTATTATTGTGGCAAAGATGATTTATAAAGTACATAACTGGCTAGTGACTCCCTCATATGGAAGGGATTTGTTAAACTCGAGGAACTGTTAAAATCTGAAATTAACCTATTTATATGTACATTGTATTACATTCAAATGAAATATGTTATGCAAACTAATGTTAATGTGTATTCAATTAAAACATCTACATTTAAGTGTACTGACTATTTTACTATTAAAGCGACATATTTTCTTCGTTTAATATTAAATAATAAAAAATTATGCAGTAATATGCTACATCCATCATCGTACAGTGCAAAGTAAGTTCAACATGCACACACCCATCCATCTGTGAAACGTTCATGTGCAATATTCCATTGACAGAAAGTGAACGTGAGGGGTTAATATCAGCTGGGTCTCTTTGGGGATTAGCGACCCAGAAAATATTTCTGCACCCGGCACACCGCATCAGCATAGCTCCTTTCTATGGATGTGCTGACTGCTCACATGCCACCCCTTGGCATACCCAGCCACCTGGAAAATGTTTAAGGAGTGCTTAAGCCTGGCACATTATGCATTTCAACAAGTGAACAATGTTGTATGACTTTTATTTTTACTCGTAATTATCTGGAGCCAAACTTTGCAGCTTTTTTTTAAGTTGTTAAGCTCTTCAATCACGACCTGTACACACACATCTGCTACCTTGTTGTCTGCGGCACGAAAATAATTGGTGGCAAATCGATGTATTTGTGCCCTTATTAATCCTAGTATATGTGATTTACTCCAACAAAAATCCCATAATTCATTGGCGATAGACGTCCTATTATACGTGCTGTTTGTCATGGCCAAGTGGAGTATAAACAGGCATAACGCATGGTTCATATCATCCACAAAGGTACCCCCCCCCCATATCTGCGTGAATAAGAGGAGTTCTGTAGTAAATTTTCTATCGGTTGCTATAATAGCATTGTCATTAGCAAATATGAGAAATTTAGGATTTTCTATATTTATCTATACGCATTTATTTCTCGAATCTAATTTTGGGAGACATTCTTCACGTGAACTGCGAATAACTTTATTTTTTTACTTTCCTCGAGCAACCTCTGTGTACTTCTTTCATTTAACGGAGAGAGCAAAAGTCATAAATAAATTATCAACTATTTAAGATATATCGGAGGGACACAGAGCTGTAAAACACATCAAAGAATAAGTACATGGGGAAAGTTACTGAAGGTGGACCGACATCAAATTGATGACAAGCAGGATGGGGTTCTTTTGGAAAGTTGAACTTAACAATGAATGCGGCGTACAAATGTGCATAATGCAGAACGTGTTTGTATGTACATATGTATGAACTTATTTCGCACCATACGTAGCCAACAAATACTAATGGTACATTACCTCCTGCGATAGATGCGTGGGAAACATGGACGTGGAAAATAATATAACAAAAAGTTAAAAGTGTGCACAGAAACGTGGAGAAGGCGCGTCCGTTTTGTGTGCAATTACCCCGGGATGCCAAAGCAGGGGACACCTGGGGTGAGATACAATCGGCAGGGTAGAGATTTCTTGTTGGCTTAAACAGTCAGTGGGCGGTTAGTAGTAGGACGTGTCACTTTCAAAGTGACGGCCGAAGGTCAAGACTAGCAATGGAGTGGCAGCCAAAGGAGGGTACGCGTCCGAGAGGGTCGTCTGGTGCGGAGATGGAGCACTGCGGTCATCTTGTGTGCTGCAGCTCTGTGGATCGATAACATTGAGAGACTGTGATAGCTGGCGATGGATTTGAGTGGCCTTGAATGGAATCAAGCGGTGGATAAACGGTGGCTGATTCGTATGATTAAGATAACAAGTCTTACAGCAAATGGTGACTTCGTATAAATGGACACTGTAGTCATAAACGGATACCTTGGTTTAAATTAATTTAAGATATATTGCCAAAGTATAATGTTCCAGTGACTTCATGTTCTTATTCCCAGGTGAATGAGCAATGTTGAGCCTGTCTGTCAATAATAACTTTGACACGACTGCTCTGTCGAGGAATTGAAAAGATGTTTGCCATTCTGATTTTAACTTGAGCACCAAAAGCAGAAACTGGACATTGATGAGCAAGAACGCTAACATCAACACAAATATCCTTTAAAAATACTTGTTTGTGTTTGGGAGGGTATCTGACCTGCCTTGGAACGCAAATATGTTGAGCAGTGTTTTTGTTGTTGTCGTGTCTGGCTCACAAGAGACGTCTATTGATGGGTGACCGAATAATATTTTATAAGAAAAAAAACACCTCCTCATGCTAGTATTGCATTAATATATTGAAAGATGGCGTGATTTCATCATCAATATTTTTTTTTCAGATAGGTTGCTGGTCATGGTAGAATGGTCAGCATACTGAACTTAAAATCTAGAAGTCTCCAGTTCGATATCCCAGCGCTGCAGTTGAAACTTCGTTGCAAGTTAATTCAATACACTCTGCGTCTGTCCGCCCAGAAGTATAAATGGGTCCACCAGAGTTAGTCGGTCGTCAGGTCACGTGTGGTGGAGTAAAGTGTGGGTACTCCCACCTTTGACAAAACATCTGGCTAGCATGGACAAGGAGACTGACTGCTCTCTAGAGGGGCTCTCCAGAACGTCCTCACGTGGAGGCCCTTCTGCCAGCAGTGGCACAAGCGAGTGATGGCCCTTGTGTACACAGTGTCTCCGTGTGTACGTGGCTGGGGAGAGGGCGACGAGGTACAAAAGGCATCACCAAAGCTGGTCGTTACATAGTGTATGTGTACTTCGACAATTTATGCACATATAAATTAAACGCTGTGAAATTTGAACACCTTAATACCCATATGCATATTTTCCAACCCTACTGCTTTCAGTGACAGGCTGCGAATTTTAAAACTCTTTTACCACATAATGCTGTTCGAACTTAATCGCACCATACTATTTGAATTTTTAAACATTTTTTTTGCTTTTGAAGGGTCAAAGTGGTTTCCTGCTCCAATGAGCATTGAGGCATTGGTGTTCATCCCTGAGCCAAGTGGTGAAAATTCCATTCTGATGGTGGGGGTGAGTTCATCCATATGACGACCACTGTTGACTTCCCTACAATGTGTTATATATTTTATCGGTTCCAGAAGGATTATGGGCAGAATCAAACCCCAACTAGGATTTGAACCTATAACCTTCCGGTTGTAGGCCACTCACTCTACCGCTGAGCCACCAGTTAAAACATTGGCAGCCGACTGCTTGAATCGTCAGGCGTGCCAAGTGCACAATTGCCTTTACACATTTTCTGCATTTTACAAGTTCCTGTTCCAATTAATTTGCGTTTTCAGTGAAACTCTTCCATGGATTATTACAGCACTTTGTGTGGCTGAATTGTTGAACGTATTACATTCGAGGGTGGTTGGCACTGATACCAAATATAAAAAACTATTTACGTTGGCATCGTAGTTTGCCAGGATTTCGCACATGCAGAGGATGTGATGGTCTCGTTCCAGCCAATAAAAGCCTTAAAACAAAAATATGGTGTACGCGGTGCACACTTGGGCGTTTTCTTTTGAATATAAAAACGTTGTGCGGCGAGATGTTTTGTGGGTGAGTTAGCGGTGGGAGCACTTTAGAACGGCACAAATAATTGACGCGGGAATCGATGTGATATTCCTCCGAATCGCTCTCAAACACTGCGAGTGAAAATAGAGCGGAGTGGCTCTGCCGTATTCGTGGTGCTGCTATCGCGTGGACAGACAGAGAGGTGCCCCGGCTCAATTCCCAGCAACGGCAAACGAGGAGTGAACTCTCTCCTATGGGTCTTGGGCACTCCACCTTTGTCAGACGTCACTAATTTTTGCAAGGAATCAAGGTTAAACAGCCTCCCCTCATGCAGCAGGGGATTGACAAGAGTCTGGACAAATGTATTATTATTGGGTACTCGAGGCTCTCGCTCGTTTGATGCCATATTGATTTTTTTGTGTGCGTCGGTAAACAATATTCATCACTGGACACTGCAAATACGTGACGGTCAATTTATAGATACCCCGCGAAAACAATTGGAAGATGTTATTGTTTAACGAGAAAATTTGACTTAATTGCAAAGCCTCTACATTTTCTGCAACAAATTTCAATGCACTCGTTAAATATAATTTAACACTATCCTCTGTAAGACACAGATCAATTTCGTTCACAATATAATATGAACTCACCTGTTGAGATGAAAGTAGGTCTATTATAACTCAGTGAGGCATCTATTAATAGATCACCCTGTATGCAGTACAGCACTGATAGTGGCTGTAGTTGTTGCTCTGGAAACCAGGCGATTGTTGATCCATGTTCGGTCAACGGGTTGATGATGATGGCATTGGTCGTGATTTCTCACTTAACAGAGTGGGCCCGCTTGAAGGCTGCCATCTTCAATGCCCTACTCACAGATGTGGAGGAGGCATTGTCGCAGTGATACACTCTGCTACTGGAAATACATTGATCTGGCTCAACCACCAAATTGCTAAATTATAGTTGTTTCTCGACATCAACATCTGCGATACGAAGAACTGGCTGTAGGAAATTGCATTGCAGCTCATTTCCACTGCGTTGGATAGAGCCGATTTTTTTTTAAGCCGAGGTCCGCTGCACTTTATTACTCCATACCAATTCAGCTGGGGATGATTTATACATTCGATAGATGAATAATACATTTACTTATTAAGGGCAGTAAATATACAACGTACGTAAATATCAACGCAATATCTGCACCATTTTTTATTGCATGCGCTTTAAAAAAAGAATAAAATCCCATGTGGAATTGATCACACTTGAATGCCGTACAGCGACAACATTTGTCACGAGAATAATAGTTCACAGCCATTTTGTTACTCCACTGCTGGATGAAGACGCTGCCTGACATGGCGAGTCATTCATCTGGGTTTGTTTGACCATACTTTACCATGCTGGTTAGGTGCAGGCTGGTAAAAGAAGCTCTAAATACAGGTTCAGATATCACTGCCCATTTGTGTAGCCGTGACCGGGAATTATATCGGCTCACGATGTGAAATTCATGATTGACGCTATTCTATATTGGTAGTTACAATGACTATGACATATTTGTCACACCTGAATAATTAAATTATGCCCTTCGCAGTGTGAAAAGGGGAAAGCTCCTGGTCCAGATGGTATAACTGACATTTTTATTATTTTATTGTTTCCCTTTTACGTAACTTTACCAAAAGAACCAAGAATATGAATCCCTGCAGTCACGAAAGCTTTAAATCAAAATATAACTAAAGAAGTTTAACCAATTTTTGGAACAAAGTTAGCTGACCAATTACTAAACCTTTACAAAAAATGTAATACCTCAAGCATGGCATGGTGCCTCCATTCATTTTTATTTTCAGAAATGGTGATAATACCGAGTGGAATAATTATAGCAAAGATTAATTACAGCGATGATTATTACACCCGGCCAGGTGGTTTGGTGTAAGAGACAGCGACTCCAAATCGGAGGGTCGGGCTCACTTATACCATCATCACTTCGGGGTCAATAAAATAGGGACACGTTGTGGGAAAGTCACCACTGGTTGTTTCATGGATATTTCCCCCACCATAAGAATGTGGAATTTCCGCCACCGGCTCAGTGCTGTAAACAGTCGACGGGCACAATTTCATTGCTCATTTGAGCAATAAATAACTTTGACTTTGCATTGAAATCGGCAGCAGTGCAGCAATCATTTGTGATCTTTATCGCAGCCACACCGCGTTACCAGTGGGACATATTACCTAGGCCAAGGACTTGCCGCTTCCCATTAACTTGAACACATTCACCCGACTCCACACGCCGAACGGCTGAGCCGCACATCCTCATTACGCCGCCCGCAAATGTCCAATTGGCGACACGGTCCCCTGGCCGCGGCTCGCTGCGGAGTTCCCGCTGGGGAGCAATCGTCCCTCTCTCGAACTTCCGTTTCCACTGGCTTCAACATCGAGCGCTGACCTCGCCGGGGGCGAGTCGCCTGCCTATTGGCTGCGCGCACGGCCTTCCGTGTCGAGCGAGCACCCATTGAGGGAAAAAAAAAAGAGAAATCCGACGCTTGTGAGAAGCAATAAACGGAGATGTTTTACGGCTCTTCTTGGTAGGGAGGTAAAGATGCAGCCGCAGAACTGTTTCCGCTCCGCCACCGCGGGCGGTGGGACCTCCACGAGAGGTAACTCTCTCGCGAGGGTGTTTGGTTTACCTTTCCACGTTGGCCAGATGCGTGGGCATCGGTGGGCATAACCAAGCGTCACCCCCGCCGTGTACACTGCTGGGTGGGCAGCGGTGGCGACGGGGATTTGAGAAACTTGCACCCCATTGACTTCTGGATTACAAGCCCAGTGGGCTAACCGCTACACCATGTCGGCTCCCGTCTCCTTGATGTACAAGGAAAATTAAATAATGAAACATGATTTACAGCATTTTCTCAATCCACTGCTGGATGAAGGCCTCCCACGCCATGTTTGGTCATTGGGGTTGTTTGAAAAAAATTGGCCAGGTTGATTGGTGCAGGTTGGCGAACTAGGGGGCTGATGTTAGCCATGGCTCGGAATCAAACTCGGGTTGCGGGATTCCTAGCGCAGCGTGCCAACACTACACCACTGCTCCATCCATGGTGGACGGATAAGTGCACGACAATTATTCCAATGTTGGTCATGCAGCAAGCCTCCATTTTTATTGCATTGTCCGTTGGGTAAACATTGTTGCGCACTCGATATCGTTGGTAGAAATGTCTCCTGTCACGAACCGAGGGACGAAACCCCCACAAAGCGCAATGTCCATATCCTGTCCTCGCTTACAATAAAAAAAATACAATCGTATACGGTTCAAACGATGCCAGGGACTAATTTGCGTCCAATCCCCATATTAAATGACTAATTGTGACAAATGACAGCGATTTTGCGAATGACGTAAATCGGGTTGAAAAAAAAATCTATTCCAATCGCAACAGCAGGGGGTGACTACGACAGCACTCGTTGATCAGATGTCAGAAGTTAGGAGCTGCCATGGATAACGGTTCTCATGAAGCATTAACCATGTTACTAACCATGCCCGCTCTGACGAAGGCAAAAAAGTGACATTTTGAATTGTTGACGCTTCATTTTTATTGCCATTTCATAACGCCTTGGCTCTGTAAAGCGTCCAAAAACTTTCCACCAACGAAGCAATATCCTGCGAACGCGGGACGTGCATCGACATTCTGGTCACGTAGACAATGCCCGTGCATGATCGTACAGTAGGCTGCACTGACTGGAACACATTGCCATCGGAGAAAGGGTTAAGGATGATGCATTTATGATTCACCTCTGATAAAGTGCCCTTGTTAACAGCACCGCGGGTGACCTCGAGTCATCTGGCTCTTGTGCACATTTAGTAATTGCTTGCCACTTCCGCACCACTCCCTCTGCGTGTCCTGTCATGCATTCGAATATAAAATGAATTGGAAATTGATGCCCATAGCTGATTGTCTGCAGTGGCCATTTCGTTGCACTCCCTTCAAGGATTGTGCTTGTGTAAGTGTTTATATAATTCAGAGACTTTAACATTAATGTTGTTAGGTGACTGCAAGTCTCCTCTATTTGTGATTTATGCAATGCTACAATGACTCTGTAACGATGTCATATATTGGATAATGTCATAAGCCTATGATTAAATCAACCAGAATGTGCGCGATATCACCAGATCTCGGACGCGATGCGAAGCTGAGCTTTATGAAGGCAACAATGGGTGACCACCGTGCTCAAGGAGAGGTGAATGCTTGGGATTATGCCGAGAGACAGGAAGAGGAAGACGTGGATTAGGGAACACATGCAAAGTTATAAACATCATATAGGACTGTTGAGAGAAGTAAGTGGGAGTTGGTGGATCACATCGTTCAGACTAATGGCAGAGTGGCAGGCAAAGAAGAGACGCAAACAGCACTGAGCGGATGTTTGCTGTGGAGCGAGATGAATGAATTCGGCCCATGTACAGGAGCAAGATGGGATCTTTGCACCGTGAGAGATTGGCACTGCTTGGAGATGGCTTCATCCAACAGTGGTTAGATCTTGGGCGGTCTTTTTTAATTAATCCAAAGGGGGGCAAAAATAATGGCCATTTTTCATTGATTTGCACACAAAGTGGATTGTGAGGAGAAACATTGTGGAGGTTAATTCTGTGAGCCTTGCACCAGTGACTTTATGAGTAATGGCTGTGTCGGCACAAAGCCTTGTGAGTAAATGTGGGACTTTATCACAGATGTTGCATTTACAAGGTTCTTTCGGTAAAGTCACGTGGGTATAAGATAAATCACGACGTTTCGGGTGCAACACAAGCGTCCCGTCATCAGGTGGGAAAGCTGGCCATGTTTAACAGAAAAAAAAATACCGGCATCCACAAAGCCAGTGATGTTCACCTCCTGCATGTCCACCCAATGCAATGCAGGACATAATAGCAAGTGCAAAATCACTCGGCCTTCTTGTCAACTCATCCCCACATTCAGGAGATCGTGGATGGAGAGGTTAAGCGGACGAACAGATTAAAGCTTTCGCTGTTGCTTATTCCAGAACGTGCGTGTTTCACGTTGCCCACTGCCTTACCAGCCATTCCAATTTCTCCCAGATGTGCAATCCAACCCGGTGCTCTCTTCCTCTCTCTCTCTCTCTCCCACTCCCCATGACGCTAACACCCTTGCTCCCTGCCTTGGTGACTTGTCCGACGCACAACCAACCCGGCAGCAGCGTGGAAGTGCTCGCCGAGGTGTTAACCTCTGGGGACCGGGGCGGCGAGCGCATTCGCAAGGCGCGCACTGTCCGTGGCGGGGCGCAGCGGCGCAGCGGCAGGGACGCGAGGTGAGTGTCGAGGCCAGCCGCCTTGGGGCTCGGCAGCGAGCCGTACGGCTGCGGCACGGGGGTTGCCGCGGTGGTCGAGGAGATGCTAGGGCCCTCGCCTGCTACGCTTTCAGACGTGCTTCTGCGGCCGGTCTGGGATGCTCAACGCCCTCCCTTCTTCAGAACTTATTTTTTCGTGTTTAGTTTGTTTGTCCGTTCCTCCGTGCCTCCGATTAGCACGGTTGGCCACATACGGTGAGAAGGAAGTTCGACATGCATACACGGGAGGTGTGGTGGGTTCTATCCCCACCCTGACTGCTGTATATTTGGAGGTCGTGTGTTCTCTCTCGCCCTGGTGGTCGCTTGAATTATTCTCCAGGTCTTCTGGTTTTGACCTCCACATTTAGAAACATGCATTTTAGTTTACTATAAAATCCCATGTGTGATGATGATGATGATATAAACCACTTTGATGAACTGTCACGTGCAGCCAGGTCCCCTCTGACAAAGAGCTAATAGCTGACTGGGCTTCACTTAGTAAATAAAATAGTTTAGTTTAAGCGTAGCTACATTCGGTGATTCGCTGTCAGCATGTATGAACTGCGTCTGACCTGGCCCTTTATGATCCATGGCTGGAGCTACTGCAATGAGGTTGTCAAGGTGTGCCTCCCTCAGTTGTCAATGTTGCTACAGCCACAGTTGCTTCCAAGGTATCGTCCCAAAACTACCAATGGTTTTACTGAGTTCGTGATGTCCGATGTGTTTTGCTGAACAGTGAAGTTTGGAAGCATCAGCATTACTGTGACCTCTAGCCTTGACGTACCTCGCTTGGATTGGCACTGACCTCGGGATAATTGGCAGTGGTTTTAAATGTAGAATATTACCTAGCACAAAATGTGTGTCTTTAAAGAAAACAAATCGGAGTTAGCTGCAGCGTTATATTTACGTTGTTGCTTTTGCATATCATTGCAATGTACAATGCCTCAAATTCACATTGCTGTTTTATCTTGAAAATTGTATTCCATTGATGCTACTGCAGTGTCTTAGGCGCTCGCTAGATCACATAGAGGGTGCATTAAAACAATGTGAATTATAGCATGAACAACCACACGTGCATGTACACTTATTCGGTAGCGTTGCATGTATACGATGAAGATGCTGCGAAGAGTCCAATTATATTCCCTCTTCCAGAGGGTTGGGAAGATGCGATGGTAAAACAAAATCATAACTGGCTAAAATGTGACAGTATTTAATCGGCGTAAGATCTCCTGAAGCAGTAAGTTAATTTCATACAGAATATATACTTCATCTTTGCCAGATGGGACTAACAGTTGCCAAAACACCCATATAATTTTTTTTTATCTAATAATGAACCAGGCCTTCTATATTCAGACTTAACCCACGCACCCATTTGTGTTTGCTTCCATTAATTAAAAAGCAAGCACTGGTTGTTGTGTAGAACAAATCTCTGGTGAGGTGTGTTTTATTAGTCTAAAAATACACACCCATGCACTGTGCTTTCATCTGGCGGATAGGACACGTTCGACATTGAATGTGCAAAGGCAAAACATATATACATTTAACGAGATATGACGGCGAATACATGATTTCAACAGCAGTACATGAATCAATTGTGTTTATATTTGCATGCATGTGAACACGTATACAAACGCATCTTGAAGTGTGGTTAGGATGGTTGACTACGTACGGCGAGGGAAGAAGTCCTACATGCGTTGTGTTCGGTCAAAATATGCGTCCAAAATGATATTTGAGTGATCACAACAACTACGCAAGTTTTTTATCGGTTCACATTGAACTATGGAAAGCGTGCATGCCACGTGCAGACGCGTGAAGGTGCATGTAGCAGTGCAGTTTAGAACAGTAATAATAATAGAACCTATAAAAAGCGCATTTAATCGAGTCTCTCAAATCACTGCACGAGACACGGCATCAAGCACTCAGCGTAATAATAACAACAAACCAAAATCCTGAGAGCCATTTTCTGAATAAATAATAATAGTTGAATAAACAGTAGCGTGTAAATAAGTTTTAGGACCCGTTTTAAAGAAAATGTCCACAGACTCGGGGATACTCTGAGATATCGTGGACAAGTTGTTCCAAAGTCTGGGGCCCACTCGGGAAGAAGGTCGGTCGCCCATTGACCTAAGCCTCTATGACCTGGGAACGCAGAGGAGATCTGCATCCCGAGATCTTAGAAACCTTGAGGGGGACATTTGGGTGCAACGTCTCTCTGAGGGAGGCAGGAGCAAGGTGGTTGAGAGCTTGGTATGTTAGAAGTGAACGACGCACATCTCTACAGTTCTACATACTTGAACAACGTTACACAAACACGACTCGCATCACAATTAAATTATTAATCCGCACTCCACCCACATATGAAAAGTGTTTTCTCCAATAATACAGCCTTTATCGTGATGGGTTTATGTTTGATACCACCCATCCTGTGGGAAATGTCTATAAAAACAAAACTAATTCCCTGCTTAAAAACACCGCAAGTCTTCAAATGTTTCAACTCTTGAAAAAAAAAAACATGAAAACAATATTACACGTAAAGAACTGCATTCACAGCGTCCAATGCATGTTAAAAAAAATAAACAATTACTCTAAACATGTTTGCTTTTCTCCCCTTGCTTGTTGTCGTAACTGTCATCGGTCACGGTGCACCCGTGACAAATTATACCACGATCTCGAATACCACTGTGCAGTCAAAGGTGAAAATAGCTACAAACAATACGCGTGTACATTGTACGCCATCGCACGCAAGTGAGCTTATTGATGTAGCAATGCATTTGTGGTCACATGATCTGTCCAATGCAATGCGATGCGAGTCTCACGCAGAGCACTGCTTGATTGTTTCTTTAATTGATTTTTTTAAAATTAACGAGCGGACATATTTATACCATCCAAAAAATAATTTGCTGTCAAAATACACCGGTTAATTTCTCGTGATTGTTATATCTTTTTTGAGTTGCAATTTGCTCAGATCAGACTTTTGATTGAGGGAATTGTACTGAAGAATGATATTAATAATGAGGTTCACTTTGTCAATCTAATGCTGCATCTTGCTGGGCATTCGCATGACTCTGGGTGATGGGGGGTATAGGGGACATGCAGCACAGGGTCATTTAGCACAGACGAATGATGTTAACATCAGTTGAACACGTAGTATGCTTTAGCGGCTAATATTATCAATACATTGTTTTGGGTTAGATCGTGTAAATATAAATGCGTCGTGAAACCCGCCACCACCAGACACAGACAATGAGTAAGGTTTGTCACGTAAACAAAACATACCAAAATTAGTTACAACTTCAGCACTCCGGTGAGTTGGAAAGTAAACCCACAACATTTACTATTCGAGTATGACGTTTCGCTGGTGAGTAGCCAGAGTTGTGACAGCTTATGCCAAACATGTGACCTTTTCTTTATGAGTAAAGGTCTCTTAGATAGAGCCAAAACAAGGCATTCTATGCATTTCCTCTAGAGGGAGCGCTCTCTAGAGTTTACATTTATAAAACGGCGCAATATCACGAATAGTCCGCAGCTTCAATGCGCCTTCTGGTTTTGCAGTATCATGTTAACATGCAAATATATATACACACGCTTCCATAATATTAAAGACATTGCTTTGACTATTCAGGAAAGTAAGTGGCCGTGGGCAGGACACATAGCCAGAAGGGATGATGACCGATGAAGGAGACCTATGTATGTATGCCGCACTTCTTTTGCACCGTGCCGTGATAATCGGAGGTGCGGGGGAAGGACAGCAAACGAACTGTCCACAAGGTAGCTGCAAGGCTACGTTGTGGACAGCCGAGGGCAAGTGCTGACATTTTTGTTGTTGTAGCACGGTTGGCTAAGTACGGTGCGAAAGAAGTTCAGCGTACATACATACTATGCTCCCACGTCTTTGCGCTCCCCAATTCACCAACCCGCACTGACCGGCATGGTGAAGTATAGTCAAATAACCCCCAAGACGTACGCAGCATGGGGAGGCCCCGATCCAGCAGTGGATTGATAAAGGTGCTGTACATGTACACGTTTTGTGTACCACACTTGGCAGACATTTCAAAACTGGGGAAATACTTTACGTTAAGAAAATAAAAGCATACATTTAATAATGCACAGCGTTTCCATTAGACTGCCAGTTAATACTCTAATTGTGTATAAATAATACAATGTGAAATTGACTCTATCCTGACCATGACATCATAGAGCCACTGGAACACTAGCATGGTTCTCTGTGGATTAACAGATAAGCCTGGTAGGTGATATTAAAACGTGCATCTTTGGAAAATAAATTGCATTATCATACAAGATATATAAGTGCTTGCAGGAGGCCACTTAAAATCTAATTATGAATTACATTAATTATTCGCAGTGTTACATGTAAGTCTATATTTTAATGCAAAACTCTTTTTACGCGCAATGCCACAGCAAACCACGCTTGGTTGTTACGAACAATATTTATTTTTCAAACGTTAACTTTTTCAAAGTATATGTTGAGTAATAGTGAATACCATAGTTCAGTATTTGGAGGATTTCTTCCCCTCCCAGTTATTGAATGAACTGTCACGATATGAGGTTGTGATTCATTTAAATTATACAATCTCTCGTATTATAGTTTTGTGTGTTGTGGCTGGGGGAAAAAATCCAACCTTTGTTTGCTCCACTTACCTACATATAAATCAGATAATGTATCTATGCTGGAGGTAAAATTAGGTAAATGTGCAGCCCTGAATTGTATTGCTCCCACCATTGCTGGAGGGAGAGCCTCCTCTGCTCGAGGCTGCCCTAGAGAGCTCCATGAGAGGATGCTGGGCCTAATCTTCCACGCTGGGCAGAAATGTTAAAAGAGGTGGGTGGTACCCATATGTGATGCCACCACATACGACCTGCTGATCGACAAATGCGGAATACCCATTTGTTGTACTCCTGGGTTGACAGATGCGGTTGGGGGGTTGGGGGTTAAGAACCTTGCCCATGCTTCAGCATTCATT